TTTATAAAAATAAACAAAACACAAAGACTGATAAAGACCGTTATCGGCTCATTCTGAGCTCGAAAAAGAAAATTACCCTAAAGCTGAACTCTTGAACAAAGCTCTTTCTTTTCAGAAACTTGTTACTTTCCATATACAAGTAAAATGCCGAAAATATTTCATATACGTAGGTAGGAAAGCTTTTTTTGATGATTTATTACTATTTTTTCAATTTTCTTTAATTGAAAGAATAATTACTTAGGATTAATATGTTCAAAAAGTAAGGTGATACTGTACGCACCTTGATCTTAAAAATATAGAAACTCAGAAAGTGTGTTTCACCTTACATTTACATTTTTCTTGTACATGTATATGAAAAACTTTGAGTATCAGGTAAAAAACAGGTATTTTGGGCTATTATAAAAAGTGGTTAGTTCAGTTTTAGAACATTTTTCAGTTCAGTGTGGGCCAAAAATGTCCCGTATCAGTACAGTTCCTCTAAAATGCTTCCATAGATCAATGCAGAAAAACATCTTGTTACGTTTGATGTATAAACCTTAGTAATATGGACTTTTTATTTCATACACTAATAAATCCACATCATTAAAACAAATTACAATTACAAATTACCTTTGTAAAGACTTAATTGCCGTATATTCATACTTTAGTCTAATGTATAATACAAACAGAATTGTTTATACCACCTGAAACCTAGAGATGTACCTTTTTCCTAAAAAACAAGGTATTTAAGAGAACAAAGCGATTTACATTTTATCCATCTACAGCTACTTAATTTAAGTCCTCCCAATGGTCGTAACATCATTAATAAAATTACTGTCTTATTTTTTAACACCATCTTAATTACCATTATCATATGGGAGCAACTTTTAAAGTCTTTAGAAAATGTAATCTGGTCCAGCCATGTCAATAGCCCAACGAAATTTGTCACGCTGAGTTTTGTTATAGATTTTCTCTATTGGAACATTGTATTTCTTGCACCAAGCGACTGAGATACGAGGATCTAAATAATTCAACTTGGAAGTGCCCAAGGCAATTGTTTTATTCTCATCCCTATCAGTTTCTTGTACTTCCAGTTTAACTAACTGTTCTTTAAGTCGCTGCAGCGTTTTCTTTTTCTTTTCATACACAGTTTTCTCCTTGACACTACCCCGTTTAGCACATTTCTGTGCGTCCTTAACTTGCGCTTCAGCTTCCCGAATTTGTTCTCTTTTCTGATCTATTTTTTCCTTAAGTTTCTCCATGGACTTTTGATGTCCTTTCGGTACAGATCGTTGATGATTACAAAGAATAGCAACGGCCCTGTTGGCTCGATTATAAGCAAGTATTTTTTCTGAGACTGATGTGTCTGGGTCGGTTAATTGATCCAGTTGCTGCTGTAATGTTATGGAAGCGTTGTACGTACGGAACACTTTCGCCGTTAAACCTTCCATAAGTTCATTAAGATGTTTATTTAAAACTGCAGTATTTAAGCGATCAAACAAATCATCTCCATCTTTTTTGTTTTCCATAAACAACTGTAGGTTTTTGAAGACGCGCTTTTCAACTGGAACCTCATTGTAGTAACGTATAGAGTCTTTACCAAGAAAGTCAAAAACCACAACGTATTCTTTGCCATCTCGCTCCTCATGTAATTCAATGTGCTCGACACGTAATGAGCAACAACCGACAGTATCTGCTTGATCCTCGTCTTTTTCGTTGCCGGCTCTTAAAGCTAACCGATCTATAAAATAAAGTGCAACAGCTCGCTGTCTGATTCTCATCTCTTTCGATTTCCAATCCTCTTTGTATTCTCGACGGATTTTGTCTATACATTTGTGAAGTCGACGAGCCGTCTCATATTTTTGCATGTCCTTTTCTCCCTTAAGTTTAGAGCTTGGATTCAACATGATGTACTTTACTTGATTTTGTACATTTTCGGTCCATGAAGCAAGCCAAGTGACGCTTGGATCATGTCTTACTTCTTTCCATTTATGACCGGGAGGAGGTACCGGTATTTTTGAATCTTTACTACAGTTTATGATTATGTCTTCAGCCTCAACTCGCCTTTTTAATTTGCCCATTTTAGGGTGTTCACCACGACCCCTAAACAAACCAGGAGGTTCAATTTTAAAATTTCCTATTTTTTCCTTGTGTCCATCTATCGTACAAAATCCGTATTCTTTCACAATTGCTTCATTTTTTTCTTTCAGCTCTTTTTTTTCCTCTTTTGTACGATTTCTGTTTTTTTCTGCAACATCCATGAAATATGCATGCATTTTTCTGAAGTCACACTTACTTAGATCAGTTATAAGAGCTTGTTCTTCCTCGTTCATTACTTTACGCCAGTCTTTAAAAAAATTTTTATTAAAAATGTCTTTTGTCGTATAGTCATGGTCAAGCATTTTTGCATAAAAGCCTGCAATCTCTTCAGCAGGTTCTGACAAACGAACTTCTTTACCATCATAATAAAATTTGATGTCTTTGGGAAGGGGTTCATAAGGAGGTGCAAAAACAGGTCCTTTATGTTCTAAAAATGTCCACTTTGTACCATCATCTCTCTTTTCCTCTTCCCACCTACAGAAGAATGTTTATAAATTTTTAATCACATATTTACCGCTAATCATAATTAAATTAGACAGCAATTTGATAGGGTTAAAGGGATCTTTTATTGATTGCAAAACCACACCGACGTTTCGGCCTCGATAAGGTCTTTTTCAAGGCTATAAACATGAAAATATTAGAAGAACATCATAACACTTCGCATACACTTACTAGTCATTCTAATCTGTTGCAAGTGATTCTAAATAATTCCATGTTGACGAATGTACAATAAATGTTGAATGATAAATTAATACACAGATACATTCGTACAGTTAAAATAATAAATAAAATAAATAATTAAAAACGCACTTAAAATAAAAAGACAGCAATATTCATAAAGTAATAAATAGAAGTTTAAAAAACACTAGGAAACATGATCATTTTTAATCATATTTACTAGTTAATTAATTTAAGTTTATAACTATAACCCATATTCGTAAGCAATGACCCTTCATAGATAAACAAATTAATTGACTTTAATATTTTTATTCATTTTTACTATTTTTTTTTCAATCTACATAAAAATTGCGCCTTTTGCGACGTACCCATGGCAAAAATTGATTTGCTGTAAAGAGAGACTGAAGAGTCAACTCTTTATGAATAAAATAAAATCAACCACGTTTTGCTACTGTTGCGACATTAAAAAAAGGGG